TTTTAATTATTTATAACATTTACAGATGTCAGGAAAAATTTGTAAGAATTGACACATTACTAATCTTCAGCATATTACTCCAAATCATCTCCTCTTCTTTGCTGAACTAACTTCAATAGAGTCAGCAACCCCAACAGGAGATTTTGCAAATAACAATTAGTCCAGCTGATCCAACCATCGGCTTTAAGATCATCATAAATTTAGACTCCCTACTATCTCGTTCACTTTAAGTGAAATACCCTCTGTGTATGGAGTGATAATTTAAAACTTACAATGGCTATATCTCATCCATTAAATATGATATCAGAAAATACTTAAATTCATTGTATGTATGACACCAGACAAGTAAGTCTATTTACCACAATACTTTATAATTTCATTTTTTTTTGTGCAGGCTTTGTTCCTGTTTGCACCACTTTAGGGACATCACTGCTAATTAGAACCCAACATAGAATGGTCAAATGGGAAATCCTGCCTATGGATCAAAATTAATTACAAAATAAATTATTATTAGATTGACTTTTCTAATATCATCTTTAGTTCAGGAAATATAGCCATTTTAAGTTTTAAAATTATCAACCTGTGTACAAAAAAGCATCTTTATTAAATCAACGAGTACCTAAAAAAAACAAGCATTATTAAAAACCACAAAAACTGCATTATTTGAAAATCCATATTCAAACTCCAGATTTGTAAAATTTAAAAAAATTCCAAATACACATTTAACTTGTTCGATTGTTCATTGAATAAAAGGTCTGTTCCAACAACGATCAGAAACAAATCACTGGGTAGTACACAATTTGCAGTCTCAATAATCTACTGTGCAGAATCCTGATGTCAGTAACTCATTTCTGAGCATTGTTGGAACAAACCTAAAGTAAATCGAAACCACTTAAAAACAAGCACAACATTTATACTCGAGCATAATTTTTAATTCCTATCAAAATTTTTAATTACTGAATATTTTGTTCTAGTTATATTAAAATTTAAAAGTTCTTACTCTTCATTATAATTATATTTTTTATTTTTCCTATATACTATCTAACATTTTACAAATTTGATGCCTAATTAAGATTTCATCTAGCATTGCAGAACGTGAAACGTTTTTCACATTTGTATAAATCTTCTACATCTGTCATATTAGGATAACAAGATTGTATCTAGACAGACAGTTATTTTTTGGAAATCATAGTTGAAGTTTGTATAGCCGCCAATAACTTGTTTGATTTTCATTGTGTTTCTAACTCTAATTTAAGAGAAAATCCTATGTGATAAAAAATGCAGAAAGAACTAAGCGACCTACATTTTTTAGAATATTTGATAAAGCATAGTAGTAACTGCCAGTTAAAACTTTGGAGTGAGGGTAGCCATATGTGAGTAGTAGGGATTAAGTATAAGGGATTAAGAAAAGGTCCTTTATTTCTCACACGTCAATTTAATTGGCGACCGGTTTCGAAGCTTATTGCTTCATCATCAGGCACACCTTGACTATTTCCATAAAGGAAGTGCTACATATAGTTTAACAAAACGAGTTAAAAAAAGGAGTTAAAAAAGTCAGAAAAGTCAGGTAATTTAGTTTAATATAGTTTAACAACTGATGATGAAGCAATAGCTTCGAAACCGGTCGCCAATTAAATTGACGTGTGAGAAATAAATCACCTTTTCTTAACCCCTTATACTTAAGTTAAAACTTTGTTTCTAGTATTTAGTTTAGGTAACGGAGACAACGTTTGGAACAGAAAATACATGACCATTAATTTTTTCATCTGTACTTCTTCTGATAGTTTTGTCATTTTTCATTTCATATAAACTCGAATTTTCACCATAGAAGAACTATTTTTATGATTGCACTTTTTCAGACAGATAAAAAGATTGCCGCAATTTTCCGCCGTAACGACACTAGCGAACCTAGCGGATTTTTGCCCTAAGTACGACCGGTTTTGGTATGTTTTTTTCAGGGAGTTGAAACACCTTTATAGTACACCGTGATCTGGATTAAACATGTAGGGTGCATACGGGCGTAAAGCCCTAAAAAGATAACCGGTTGTTGTAACGCATTAACGTTAAATCGGTTTTAAGAAATATGACATGAAAATTTGACATTTAATTTCTAGGTTAATTTTATGAAACTGGCCGGAATAAAATTGTGTGATGTTGATATGTTACCAAAAAGAATTATATTTGTGTAGACTGGATGTTACAATTTAATAAGGAACAGTTTGACATGTTTTTTACATGGTGTCAAAAGCATTTTTTGATAATTTACGTATCTAATGTCATTTCCAATTTTGACTGAGCTAATTCTATAATCTAACCAAAAAACACTAATTGCATGTCATTATTAACCCACGTCTGGACTCAGGTATTTACCGGTTATAATTAATGACGTTTTAAAGGGCTTAAATACGACGTTATAGAAAGTAACCAAGGATAACAAACATCGCTTTAATTAAAACTGTAAATAGCGCAAATTACCGGTTGATCGCTTTAAAACGGTTATTGATTTGGTAACTGTCCGTTACGTAGGTATTACCAACTGGCCACTACAATCTTGAAAAACAACCAATATGACTAACATCAATGATTTATATGTTCAATTTGATAAACAATTTTTATTATTGATAACTTGAAACGGAAATTTCATTGCAATGACTATATAATGATTTCCATCAAATTTTAAATGAATTACTTTTTATTTGAATTATAACGCTGTTGCTAGGTACACGCTAAAGTGTACACAAATCAAAAAATTATATACACGCGAAACGTCATATTGCTGTGGTGGGAGGTGTTTGTGTGAATGCGTCTTGTTTGTTTTCAATTACGCCGTGACTAGCAGTAGTATTTTATAAACCTTAGAAGCAAATTTCACATACATGAACAAATAATAATAATGTCGTGACAACAAGAAAACGAAGCAACGACTTCTCGTAGGGTGGCGGCTTCGCCGCCACAAAAAAATTTCAATCCATGCTTAGCTACGCCGACCGGCCAAAACACCAACGTCATGCACACAGCTCACCTACTCTGTCAAGAAGATATAAATTTTTGAATTGCGTACAAGTTAGCGTGTACCTAGACACTGTGGAATTATATACTGAAATACTATAATTGTGTAAATGCCATATTTTAAATATTTTGGATTAGGGTACGGCCTTCGGGCTTAATTCGGTTCACACTTTGTTTAAATCCCGAAATATGTATTTTGAAATTTTGGCAAGCCTGGAGCGAGCCGTAGTGTTGCTGTTGGCCAACAATTTTTACATTTTACACACAAAAATCGTTAGAAGAAAGGGACAATCTGTGTTTTGTGGCCTAAACAGAAATTAAAGGCTAATGGTCAGATTTCAGAGTATTATTCTGCAAATATTATTCATTATTATTAAATTAATTGCAGCTTTGTCTACCCTATATTTAAAAGCAGACTAAATGGATTCTTAGAAGCATTAAACACAACAAAGAGCAAGAAAAGTAAAAGGGCTTTACTAAGAGAACCTACATTATTGAAAAAAGGGTTTTATAGAAGAAAAGAAGGGCGTATTGGACTTCAGAAAAAACATACAATGTATATTTATATCGGAAATGTCAGTTTCTAGTTATTTGATGTATGAACAGTATAATTTACTTAAAAAAAAAAAACAGTAAAACAACAACCCAGTTTTATTATAATCTATAAATATAGGTGGTACCCAATTAGAGAAAAACATTTTTATCTATTGTGTATATACAAACAATACACAAAGGAGATTTAACATTACATATACTTGGAGTATTTATAAATCATCCAAAAGATCATATCTTAGATTTATTTTAGTAGCACACTTTTGTAAAGTTGAAATTCCCAGCAAGGGATACTTTAAAGTATTTCTGAGGTAAAGATAGCACCTTTTAGTCAAATATCTTATCGTGAATGCTTTACAAATTACTTCTCAACTCCAAAAGGCCCTTGTTTTCTTTTTAAAATGATTTGTAACTATGTACTTTTTATTAAAAACTTCCAGCAAATCCTTTTTAAAAATGTATGTTATTTTAGCAAAGCAATTTGACTTTTTTGGTCTCGGTTGTTTAATGTTTGTAAGAAACCATCTCATCTGCTTTTAAATGTAGGGTTGACAAAGCTGCAATTAATTTAATAATAGTGAATGATTTTTGTGTGTAAAAAGTAAAAATTGTTTGTCAACAGCAACACTACGGCTCGCTCCAGGTTTGTCAAAATTTCAAAATATTTCGGGATATAAACAAAATGTGATCCGAATTCAGCTCGGAGGCCGTACCCCAATCCAAAATGTTTAAAATAAACCATTCACACAACAATAGTATTTCTGTTTATAATTCAAATAAAGTATGAATTACTTTGAATTTCACATAGGGGATAGAGGTAAATAAATACACGCTTTTAATAATTAAGAAGCGACCGGGGGGTGGACGGTTACAGATCTTTCATCATTCTAAATCTTTTTTAAAATCGACGTCATAAAATTCATGCATCAAATTATTACGATGCATTATAATTCTTGGCCTTTTAATTTGATCGTCACTATCTTCTGAAGATGAGTTTAAAAAATTATTAATTAAAATCTAATAAATTATTTCCATTTCATAAAGAAATCACATTTATGTGACGTTTACGTTATCAGTCTGTTAGCAGGTTTATCAGCCCGAATTTTCTGTTATTTTATCAGAGGATTTAATTGACTGTTAAGCCCTAACTATCGTTGATGAATAGCAAAGCAGAATTTTAACAGGCGGTTAATAATTAACCCTCCGATAATGACAATGGTGAATATAAAAGGTCAATCAAACGGTCATCTATGTCGAAAAGGAGATTCTTTTCTTACTTCAAATAATAATAGTTTGTGTCAAGTGTAAAAACATGTGATCAAGTTTTTACATTTCCAATAACCAAGTCTTCGGTCATTTATCTGTGTGTAATTAGTAATTAAATCATATTCTAGTAAATATTTAAATTTCTCATTCTCATACTATTCATTCCTTTTTAGCCATGTATTATATATTAACAGGCGAAATAAGAATATGGGTAAGAACTTTTGACAAATTCCTTGAAGAATGGATAGTCGCAGAAACAGGAACTCTAAATGCAGGGGATTTATTTGGAGAATTATCTCTGTTGCACGATATCGTAAGGTTGGCCACATTTACCACAAAAACTGATTGTGAGCTGCTAATGGTTAAAAAGGAAGATTTCAATGAGGTTATTAGGGGTAAGTTATGAAGAACTATTTGCGATAAAACTCAATTAGTAGACTTTTGTAAAACTTAAATCTAGACGATCCACAGTTTTGAAGTAATCGAGGTTGTGTACTGGAAGATGTAAATATAATTCTGAAAGTCCACTTAATAATAATATTATTAATTTTATTCAATAAATGAAAATTTTTCACAAATAATAAATTTTTTACAATACAATAAGTAAAATAAATGATAAATCCAGTAACCAATAAGGTTGTTTAGGACTGTAAACTATACATAATTTTAGACATAAAATACGCTTATTTAAAAAATAACAGTAATTAAGTTTTATTTAATTATTAATCAACTTGTTTGTTACTTCAGTATACAATTCTAAAACAACAAATTTTTTAAATAACGCGAGGGAGTTTAAAGTTTCAAGAAACAAATTATAAATTTTTGTTTAATATTTAAAACATTTTTGACAGACATTTTTATTAGTAAAATTTGTGACTACATTCTGATTTTGTCTATATCTTGTTTCGTATTTGTGAGAAATTTTTGTTAGTTTATTTTTGTTGTTGTATAAATACTTCAGTATAGTATAACCATACGAGTATATAATTGCCTGTAGGTCATAACTCTTGCTTTAGCAAATAATAATTTTGTGGAGAATGTAGCCGGTTTGGCATAAATTATTTTCAATTTTTTCAATTTTTTTTTTTTTTGTAGTACTTCTAACTTCTTAAGATGAGTTGGGAGAATTCAGTATCATTTATGTATGATAATACGAATTAAAAATAAACTGTAATGTGTAGGTAGGGTTCCCCATTCGACCTTGTTTTAACAGTAACATTTTGCTGAAACAAAGCCTACACAGAACACGACCATAGTTTAAAATGGCGTTGATTATGGTATTACTTTCGGTGACATCAGTGTTGTTTGTCATTGTTGGTCAGTTTTGTTTCATATTTGTTAATACTGCTTAATCTCATATTCTGAAACATCGTTTTTTAATTTCAAATTAGAAACCGTTTGGATTAAAACTTCTCGACGTATTTCGTCAGTAAATTAGTTGTAACGCATAGCAAAGCACTGTAGGAAGAAGTGTGCTTAGGTTTTAGCTTCAATCATTAATACATGTAACATATTCTAATACTTAAAATTAATATATTATAGAAACTATTATTAGAACCTGGACGGAGATACATAATGTATTCGACACTTTTCCATATTTCAAACATTGGGATATTCTGGATAAACGGGTAGCTGTGACTTTATCGAAAATAAAACATTTTGGACCAGATGAAACTATACTGGGGGATAATACAGGATACAAAGAGTATGTCTATTTCATAATAAAAGGTAAGGCTATCAATTTTCATTAGAATTTATGCAACTGCGCACTGTCAAGGTTCGTCTATTCGCCAGGTAATATGGACTACCAAACTTATTTCCATTCTTCCCTTATACTAGTAGGTAGTAAATAATTGTTTTAATTTTTATAGGAACCTGTTGTATAGTCGAAAATTTGACAGTCACAGTTTTTTGTATAAAGGGCTTTGAAACATATATTCTTAGTCCCTTGCACGATGAGGATACAAGATCTATCAAATTAAAACAAATTCTTAGAAAATATAGAGAATTTTTAGACAGCGATGATAAGTTATCAATTATGTCAGATAAATCAAGAAAGTCCAGGTGAGTAATTACATCAGGATATTGAATATCTTAAAAATTATTGAAAAGCTGTCCCGGGACAGTGTAGAACGAGGATGTGGAGGGTTCAAATACTTGACGGTTTTTTTCAATTAGTTTGTTATCACTGAGTCGAGTTTTCGTTATTTCATAAGGATAAGTTTGAAAAATTTATTTGGGAATTTCCAAAGAATTTATTTAAAAAAATATAACTGTACTAATTTTAATTAATCATGTACGTACTTATGCTGGTTTGAGTTTTAAGTATTCTAAGTATTATTATGAGAAACAATAGTCAGTCAGCAACACTGGCTAATTCACAAAAGATCTCTAAACGTACCAGTAAGTTATACATGCGTAAACTTGAAATAATCTATTAGAATTGGCTGATATTTTACTGTTATTTAAAAATACGTATTCTTTACTTTTTCTTCTATCTTTCATAACTTTTTTCAGAACAATTTTAATTGATATTTAATTTATTAATGATTTGAGAAAACGTAAAGGCTTATTTATTTGAATTTTTCTAATCATAGTAACGCATAGTAACAATGTGTTTGAAAAATCACGAAAAAGTAATGTTGGGCGATACACTACTTTTTCTCTTAAAAACAACAGTAGAATCCAATTACAATAAGAACGCGCCTACATAATAACCTTTATTTCGAAATGTAAATAGATATTACCTATAGTCTAGATAAGAAAGGAGTGCAGTAATTTAATTTGCAGAACGTAGTACAGGTTCAAGAGGTAGACATTTTATTTATACCTCATCCTTTAATGCTTATTTGTAGTTAAATTGAAAATTTTAATACATCTGATCGGCCTTATAAAACATTCGTTTATATTTAATCATGTTTCCATGTTTAAAAATCTTAAAATTTAATTTGACTTTTGAAATTTTATCCTTTCATTAATGTTAAGGTGAGTACAGCACCCCCTTATAATTTTCGGACAAGCATATTTCAAAAAGTAATTTTTTTTAAAAGTTAAAATTTTGGGATAATAAATTAGGCAATAATATCTAGAATATGCTTATATTTTAAAATTTTAATTATTTTCAGTTTCCAAGAAAAAAAATAAAAGAGCTTTAAATTTTGAAATATCATAATGAAAATAAATGCATTCCTCAACAGCAGTATTATTAATATAATCCCCAAATTTAAGCTCTCAATCTCTTGTTAATGATTTTTTAAAATTCGCCGAAATTAGTGGCTAAAACGCCTCGTTAAGTGCTGCTTTCTGGTCTAACGCGACTGTAACTATCGTATCGTACACTCTGAGTCATCATTCGTTTCTTGCAATGATTTACACCAGTTTAAACCAGAAAATAGCACTTAACGAGGCGTTTCAGCCACTAATTTCGGCGAATTTTAAAAAATCATTAACAAGAGATTAAGAGCTTAAATTTGGGGATTATATTAAGAATAGTACTGTTGAGGAATGCATTTATTTTTATTATGATATTTCAAAATTTAAAGCCCTTTGATTTTTTTTCTTGGAAACTGAAAATAATTAAAATTTTAAAATATAAGCATATTCTAGATATTATTGCCTAATTTATTATGCCAAAATTTTAACTTTTAAAAAAAATTACTTTTTGAGATATGCTTGTCCGAAAATTATAAGGGGGTGCTGTACTCACCTTAACAGTGTATTTTCATAGAAAAATTTGAAAAACGGATTACTAAATGCATAATTAAACCAAAATCTTAGTATGACTGTCAATAAAATGACTATAGCTACTAGCTATATAAGGTTGCCAAACTAAGCATTTATGAATCAGTAGATACATTGGATATTACATATCAATGCAAATTTAAAAATCGGTAAATAATAAAATTAGATTATTGTAATTCATGATTGGCAAGAGAACATTTGCTAATTATTGTATTTAGAAAAAAATATATGTAAACTATAAATATGTATTTCACGATCAAAATGGTTTAATCTTTCGATCGGAAGGTAACAATTTTACTTGTGATCATGAAGAAGCTGACACCAAAATTGCTTTTTATGTTTTTCAGTTCTTGTTAGATTTAAATGTTGTAATTCGTTGTTCAGATTTTGGTAATCTTTGTATTGAAAGTGTTTCACAAGCAGGGCCGCCGAGAGCCAGGCCGGGCCCCAGGACAATTCTGTAGATCGGGCCCCGTGATTTAACCAAAAATTAACCTCTTCTGCTGAAATACAATGTTTTTCTAAAAAAAAAAGTCCTCACATCAAAATAGTAATAATTAATAGTAATAATCCCTCAATTAATTACTTCTTCCAACAGCTGCCGGGTCCCCATTTCAGCCCGGGCCCCGGGAATTTGTCCCGGCTACCCCCCCTCTAGTCGGCCCTGTTCACAAGTTTTTTTGCATGGACATATGAGTCGTTCAACCAATCACAATTCGTGTATAAGACAAGACCCTAACTAACTAAAGAAATATAAATCATAGAAGAAAGAAATACAATAACGATCTTGACAATGACATTCGCTTCTCGTCCAATGGCCCATCATGACTTTTTATAAAACATAAACAAAACTAGGCCACGATAAAAAAGGAATAAACAGATAGGTATAACACAAAGAAAAAGAGCTTAATCAGATTTCACTTTTAGACGAATTGCAATATGTTTAAAGAATTCGAGTAAAGACATAACTACGTTGTCGTTAAAGTTTGACAGTATTGTTTCAACACTAAGCGGCGCAGTAACGTTATTAGCCAGACAAAATAAATAGTTGGAATAATAAGCGTTATATTTTTTTGAACAAAATAGTAGATAATTTATGTGCAGCCATTACTGTTTTCCACGTTTTTAGTGGATGCGATTACAACCCCGCATTTTATAAAAAAGAAAAAAAATCCATTTTAAAATCTTACAACAAATCGATGCATTTAAACAATTGCTAAAAATTGATACGCTGAGAAATCTGAAGTATTAAAAACGAAGAAAATTATTTGATCTAACAATCATATATATCTTCACACACTTTTATCATAAATAACTAATTATTCGCGCACGGGAAATTTAATGCACTCGGATAATTTTCGGTAATAATTGAGAATATTTTTAAGAAAAGCAATGTCCATTTTCAGAATGTCCGAGAGAATGTCTATTAAATCTAGAGAATCTATAAAATTTAAGAAACCTGAAGAATCTACGAAATCTGTCAAATCTAAAGGATCTGTTAAATCTAGAGGGTCTGTCCAATCTAGAGGATCTGGCCAATCTAAAGGATCTGCCAAATCTAGATCTTCGAAATCTGACAAATCTAGGAAATCTAGTGTGTCGCGTAAGTCCGTGAAATCTCATGTATCAATAAAACCATCTCTTCTGTCGAATGTATCTGAAATATCAAGAAAATCGGCGAAATCAGAAAAACTTATTAGAATCAAAGTAAGTAAGGAAGTACAAAAACTACTCAAATTAAATTCTATATTGCGGAAAAAAGTGAAGATTTAAAAGCTAACAATTAAAAACACGACATCATGAAAAAAAGCAATTTTTGTAAATTATATTTAACTATTATGAAAGTTTCTTTTTACTTTTAGTATAACAAAGGATCACACTACGTTTTTTTCACACACGCTTATTGATTTCTGTCAGGGCTACCTGAAGGGTACCTTTTTTATCTTACCTCGATTTACGTCCGAAATCTTCACTAACTCGACTAACATCTACATTCGTAAAGGGTTAATTAAATCCGACATCCGAACTGCGGTCAGGGTGTAATAAGGTGATTGAATCGAAATGTAAAATATATAGAAATGTTTTTCATCAGTAATGGCTCAAAAAAAAATTTAAACATTTATTGAGAAAATTAAAAACTAATTTACCTAACCTGTGCGGCCTGGAGCCATTAAAATTTTTCCAAACCAACTTTGATTATCATCACTATTAAAACCATGTTGGACTATTCTTTACAGAAATAAAACTATAATTATGAAATAATTTTGCCACCTAAGTAAATACTTTTGGCATGCGAAGGTTAAAACTGAATTCATGGTTCTAATTCTGCTTTCTCAGTAAAACTAATTACATTCGTTATTAGTTCTAAATAGGACTGCCATCCGTCGGGATTTACTTGAATTTGTCCTAATTTGGAGGGCTCCGGGAAACGTCCGGCGGGGTTTCAAAAAATTATTCTGGTAAATCCTGGACACTTATTGTCAGGGAGAACCTCGATTAATTGAATGATAAGCAATTAATTTGGGCGCGCAACTAAAATACTCGACCACCGAATGTCCTTTCGCCCATTTTTAGGGCGATTTTGCCCAAACATTTCTAAATAAATCCCAAAAAACTATTAAAATTAATAAAAAAAATGAAATGTTGTTTAGTTTTGCTGTAAAAAAATGTTAAGGATGTCTAGGAAAAACACAGAATAATAATCTTCTCTTGAAAAATAGTGGTACATTTTTTGAATCTCATTTCAGTCCCAGACTTAATCTTAATGGTGTTAAAATAAACACACACACGCCCTTGAAGATTTCATCCCGAATACTAAACATTCCTAGGAAGTTTTGTTGATCACTACATATTTTACTTTTATTTACATTATTGTCTAAGTTCTTTTTCCTTATTCATATTTATAAGAAAAGTGTCTAGTAAGATCTATTTTCTTAGTTGACCTCGTATGGAACTATTTAGGTTCCGCGGGAAAACTAAATTTAAAAAGTTAGATAATGAAAAGAATACTATTTAAATAAGGATAGAACATACCGCAAATTAGAACCGACTCGCGAGGCTGGTTCAAAAATGTTAACCAAATGGTTATAAGTGACGTCATTGTTTATGAAAGGAATACGGTTGGTTCTAATTTGGTTAACTAGAACTGTAACCAAACCCCAAAGGAAAACGCATTATGTTATGTTATGCAGCAAGGAAATATATCGATGCCTATAATCCTTCCAATCCTATCTTCCCAAGGAAGGGTAGGCTTTAAGTTAGGTAAATCTATCTCTTCTATTTGATATGCCCTTAGGTATAGTGCCCTTGAATTCCGGAGTGCTACACATTTGGACAGAATGTGCATGCATATTTCGTCCTCACATAATCTGCACTCACTATCTTCTACTACTCTCAGTTTACTAAGGTGTTCTTTGAGTCAACAATGCCCGGTAAGGATATGCGTAGTAGCCTTCTGATCTTTTCTGGTTATATTCACCCAGAAGTATCTTAGCCTGTGTTAGCACCAAGAGATTGTTCCAATTATAGGTCCTTCTACTGCAGACATTTTTTTAATCTCTCCAAATATTGTTTTACAGCTGATACTGCAGAACGGCTCAGGTCCCACAAAGGGTGTTTGAGCCCCTTTCTTTGCGAGACTCTCTGCAATCTCGTTAACCTTTACCCGGTTATGTTCCCAAGTGAGGGTAACTGTATTTTCCTCGCCTAGCTCATTCAAGCTTTTCTAGGCACTTTCAAACCATTTTCGAGCTAATTTCATAAGAGCTCAGCGCTTTGATGGCTGCTTGGTTATCGGGCATGATGACAATCTCTTGCCTACGATAGTTTCTCTCGGTGTCAAGAGTTATTGCTCTCGGCACTCGAGTTTAATTTCAGGGGAAATTTACAGTAGGTATCTCATCTAATAATCTCAAAATATAGAAACCATTGCATTTGTAACTAACAATCGGCAGACGTGAGACAAATAATGTTTTTACCGGGATAATTTGGAAGAATTGTTGCACTTGGTATTATTGTAATAGTAGTAGTGTTCATAGAAATACCTATTTTAAATAGTGCATGAGGTGGTGGGTGATAGGAAGAAAAAAAGGATTGTTATTTTAAAAGAGAAAATTTAAAAACCATCTGCTTTAATTTATATAGATCAAAAAATAAATATTTTTAAAAATAAAACAGGTAGGTACGATTAAAGTTAATACTGGTTTTCTCTAAAAATAATAAATGTATAAATTATTGTATTCTTGCATTTAATACAAAATCCAAACAGTTTGTTTAGTTGCGTGGCAGAGTACCTAATAACTCTTCAGCAACAATAAAAAATAAGTAAAGGTAAGATTCCAGTTTTGCCGGGCATTTCAGTAAATTTTAAGTTATCCATCTTGTATTCCAATATGTCATTAAATATTTTAAGACTTGCAAATCCAAGGGTCCGCGGTTCGAACCTCACCGTTGACTGCAATTTTTTTATTTAATTTATTTCTAATTAATAGTGCTCACCCTAAAGTGGTGATGGGAAACAGTAACAAGGAGTCTCTATAAAGTACTAGCACTCCTGCAATGGGGAGTATTGGACTACTAGTACTCCAGGCTAATGGCCTAAGTGGTCAAAGCCATAGACACCAATAAAAAGAATATTGGTTGGCAATATTAAATGAAATTACACTTTGACTTGAAGACTATGTCTATGTTTAGAGATGACTAGGTGACTAGTATCTGAGCGACTTTTCGAACTTACAGGTATAGCTTCGGTAGTAAACAAATAATAATAGTATTAATAATTATTAGCTCATGTTACAAAAAAAAATGTTTTTCTACATCCACATGGATATTAGCTAATCTACGCACAGACTACAAAACGAAACTCTGAACGGATATATTTCATATCCATTCTAGGTAGTGAGAACACTGAAAAAAATGAAATCCACCAATCAGAGTTCATATTTTTGACACCCAACTAATACTATTTTTAAAATTAAATAAGTGACAATTTTGTCAAACTAATTTTTAGTTATTGAGATTACATATAAATTAAAATGAGTTATTTTTATGTAGAATCGATAAATAATAGCATTTTAATTTTGAAAAAAAAAAAACTACATGAGACTAATTTAATTACGAGTATTAAAACTAAAATCCTGCCTTCCACGCGAAAAGCCCGGGATTGTCCATATGTCCATCATATCACTCTTGTTGCACAAACTACTATTATGATTGATAGTTAATTTTACATAATAGATTAAAACTAATATGGCAAAAATATTTAACAAATACTCAAACATTTCAAACAACCCCCAATTTTAATTAAAGCCAGATAAAAAAAGTTAATTTTTAATTTTAAAGACAATAACAGTGTGCTCAAACGATTATCCAGATATAAGGGAGCTAATGAACTCTGCCAATGGCGAGTAGATCCCAGGAGTTAATAATTGACCCAGAAAAAGTTATTTCATAAGGAAAGAAATCAGAGTTAACTTAATGAAATCATACTTCTTGTAGAGCCAACCAGGTGTAGATGAATGTGCTCCCAGTCTGTAAAATCACAGTCAATGTAAAGAAGACCAGGTATCCGGTGGCCTGTCTTGAAGCTAACTAGGAAGGGGTTGATGAGCTTTAAAGTTGACTTTGTAACTTCAAAGAACAAAAAGTAAATACTATTTAAGAATGAAATATTATCCATTAACTCGAGTTTTGCTCTTTCGTTAAATCGTATTTATTTAGTCTGGAAGTGAATCATTTATTTATTTTTTATGATTATAGGTGGGGTTTTCGGGGTTTTCCTCAACTATAAATCAAATGAGCGTCACGACAAATAAAAATAATAGTCGTCCTTCCCCAACACAAGCCCTGCTCTCAGAACTTCAGAGGTTGGCTAACTTATATACTAATTTATAAGGAGATTATTATTGTTCACTGAAGAAAGAAGCTAAGGGAAGGAAGTGATCTTTTTGAACTCCCTAAAAATCAGCTGAAAGAGTGTGTTCATATTTTGTTACGTTATTCTTATATAGATGAAGAATCTAATAAAGAAAAGGCATCACTCCGGAAGTTAAAACTCTTTTCTACCATAAGATTTTACGCCACAGGATCATTTATCTTCCTATTGTCAAAATGTCCGACTAACTTCAAAATTAACTATTTCATATCGACTACACTATCTAGCGGTGTCGAGTTTAACAATCGACTTTATTGTCGAATTTGTTTGAACAGTATTGTTATTATCGAGTTTGACATCAAACTCAAGTCAAATCGTATATTCCCTTTTACTTTAGGGTTATATGCAGTAATTAAATTATAATATTATTTTATCTATGAGTAAAAATAGTAAGTCTAAGTAAGTTTTATCAACTTCAGAAATCCTTATGCCATCCTGGAATAGCAAGAATGAATTAACTTTAAAAAGTATCCCTCCTGTAGACCTATGAGTCGCCACTGATTTAGACTTAAACACGAAATTTTGAAATAAAAATATAAATCCTTTGAGGGACTCTACACATTTGTATAATAAAAATATTCATTTTGTGCCTCATAAAATTAAAAGCAAATGCTCGAAATTCTCACATTTCGATTGTAATAGTAATTAGTGCCAATAGCTTTTTTTCCAAACTGTGTGTATTTAGAAATGTAATATTTCTATTTTTATTTATCAAACATCTAAATGAATGCTTCTAATGTGATGTAGAATAATTGACTCAGTGGTACTGCCGAGTCCGACTTGAAAAACAATGCAAAAATGCTTCGCATTAGATGATTGTGCCTCATAAAATTAAAAGCAAATGCTCGAAATTCTCACATTTCGATTGTAATAGTAATTAGTGCCAATGGCTCTTTTTCCAAACTGTATATTTAGAAACGTAATATTACTATTTTTATTTATTTATTTTTAAGCTTGTGTGGGACTGTTTGGAAGCCCTAACAGAGATGGGTAGTCAAAACAGACTAACCTTAGCTTGGGTACCAGGCCACAAGGGGACATAAGGGCAATGAAGAGGCTGATTTACTAGTCCGAGAAGGAGCCTCAAATGCTCTTATTGTCCCAGAACCCTTCTGTGGTGTATGTTATGTTGAGAATGGGGTGTTAATACACTGCGACCTAAAAGATCTATTGTGCCCCCTTATGTCGCCACTGCACTAAGGAAATGTCTCAATGCCTATAGCGACCCTTCCAATCCTATTTTCTCAAGGCAGTGTAGGATTTGAAGTGGCTTCAAGTTAGGTAAATCTCCCTCTTCTATTTGATATCCTCCTAGATATAGTGCCCTTAGATTCTGGAGTGCTACACATTCAGTTAGGATGTGAATGGAGGTTTCGTTCTCCTCCTCACAGAATCTGCACTCACTATCCTCTACTACTCTCAGTTTACTTCTGTGGTGTAACAAAAACAACTATCAGAACATGCACAAAGCAGTGGATGTTTAAAAAATCTCAGGAGTGGTGGAAAAACTCATCAGGACAGAGACAGGCTAAAGAGTTCTTAAAAGGACCGTCCCCTAAACTCACCGAGCATATCCTAAGCCTTAATAGGAAAAATACTACAGTGCTAGTAGGTCTAGTAACAGGGCATTGTAGGCTTAACAAACATATGTACAATATCGGTCTGACAGAAGCGACCTTGTGCCGATTCTGTCAAGAAGAGGAGGAAGCAGCAGAACACGTTGTGCTACTGCGAAGGTCTAGCAAGACTGAGATTCCTTATACTTGGAGAAGAAAACTAGCTATACCGGAGAACTACTTCCCAGTCTATGGAGTCTACTATAAATGACCGAATTAGATAATGTACTCTAAACAATGATTAAAGGATATCCACAATAGATCTGAAAAGGTCGAGGTGGAGGAGGCCACATGGCCCATAGTCCTAATTAAATCTAATGTAATATTACTATTTTTATTTATCAAACATCTAAATGAAAGCTTCTAATCTAATATAGATTAATTGACATACTAATAACACTGCAAAAATACCTCGCATTAGTCGATTGAAACAGAATTACACCCGAACGGTGCATTAATGAAATCAGAATCGCCGGAGAAGGGAGTCTAATTTTCTATTTTTATGATATTTCGGTGGATAACACTAGGGTTGCCACCTTTTTGAAACGTAAATAAAGGACTGGGATGCTCTGGTATACAATAATGCCTCATCCTTCTACTGAACTTCTAAAAAAGGTCGCCGAGCTTGCAACAAAAAAAAATCCTCCTCGTCATTCTACCGATCTTCTAAAAAGAAGGTCCTCAGCTTATTTATTTTTGTACAAACCATGTCCCTTCCAAAAAGATATGTGCTTTAAAAAAAGACATTTCACTTAATTCGGTAGCTTCCAAATCTGACGATTCCTCGTGATGGGTGTCCATTTCAGGTTCTTACTGGTCCACGTCTAAAGAATCATTTCGTTTAGGAGCGATTAACATCTTTGACTTCTTTACCAAAAGATTTAATTTTCTTTTTTGGTAGAGCCTTCTAAAACTAGATATCAACGGGTCAGATGATAACATAAGTCTTTTAAACACATCTTCCACGGTTTGCTTTCTAGAAAAATTTTAAGAAAACCCTTCACGGTATTTTTTTATGGTTTTATTTAAGGCCTCTTGTGCTTCTTCAGGTCATTTGACCAATAGGTAGCAGAAATGACTATTATTTCAGCCGAATGAAATAGTATTTTATGCACTGTAGTCGGCATGTTGTACCAAGGATATTTCGCAATAAGCAAACTAGCTGTATTCTTTGAACAAATCTGTTTTTATGTGGAATGTACTCGATAAAGTTTGAAGTATTACTTGTTGACGATAAATAACTTCTTAATCTATACCTGTTACTTCTGAAGACAATTCAGTGTTCTTAAAAAAGTGTCTGGCTGTATTGCCGTCGTTTGTGCTACCAAATTCTGGCTTAGGTTTATACTAACAGTCCTAATTTTTCTTGAAAATTCTTTTGAAATTGCTTTTTTCTTTCTGCTACTATTACCTTATTTTGTTCTCTTCTTGCTTGCCAGTTCTTTATTGGTAATTTATAAGACATGTGCAGATTATATTCGAAAAATCTTATCCAAGCGTGTAATACAGAGATACCAAAACTAAAAGTTGAAGTATCTACTTGTCGATCTAACAATTCATAAACTTGTTGAAATGTTGAGAAGTGGCACCGCAAATGTAACATTGTTGAGTAGAACAACCGTGCACATCAGTCCTGAGTCAGAGTTCACAGTTGTTGGAGTGAGCTGATTGATTTGATCTTCAATATAGTTTATCTCTGTAGTTATTTCCTTTTTCGTTTCTTTCACGAATGGGATTCTGATGGGACGACAAAATCTGAGAGATCCTGGTCTCGGATTCTGCTAATTTTTTTTTGTATTTTGAGTATCTCCAGAAATCAACTGAAGCGGTACCAAAGATGTTAAAAAAAAGCGTTCATCAAAACAGTCCGTATTTTCAAAAAGTTGTTTGTACCTGTTATGTCCTGAACTTCCATCACAGCCCCATTTTGATATCAATGTCGAGTTTTCTTCCTCTGTCAACGTCTTTAAGACTTCATTTTGTAACTGGATCAGACTCTCTGCTGAGTGGTTCAATAGAGCTTGCAATTTCACTTCAGCTAAGATTTCAGTTATGTCAAAATCACTAGGATAACAAAGTTTCTTTATTTCTTGAATTTTTTTAGGAAGGAAATCTTTTCTTGTAGGCAAAAATAGTGACGTCTCTTCATCAGAAATTCAACAACAGGCTCCGATTTTATTTTAAATGACTTTCTGTACTCCATAGCTGGTGTACTCGCTTAAAGTTGCCTCACAACTGCAGCATCATCCACATTGCCTTCCTTCCTGAGATTCATCTGAACAGCATACATTAGTTCTGAATTAATCACTGTTGTGATTAAGTTCTTAGTTTTTCGGCGTTTGGATCTTTCGCTGGAACTGGTAAAATAAACAGGGAGCCTACCTTTTACAGACGGACCAGAATGTGTAAACATTGGAAATTCGATCACTGTTTCTAACTAGCTTTGGTTCTGAGATATAAATCTCTCCCTTGTATACCGAGCTGCTTCTTATTTCTTTTTGAATAATGATTTGAACTGAGGTAACTTTTTATGAATAAGTATAGACTGCTCTTCTGGGCACTTAGTCATATCCATAACATATTTTTTTTTAAATACCAACTTATCCTCTAATTTACGCGAATCGCATTCCATCAGTTTTTCAAAAAGGGCCATTTTGATTAAAATTAGAGTTTGTGTATGTCCTCCCGACGATTCTATTAAAAAGATTTAATATGTTGTTACCACTGATCTGTATAATACAGATCAGTGGTTGTTACCCAAAAAAGTGTTTTTTTTAAGCAGTAGACACCAGATAATTCAAAATTATTTTTTTTACGGCCAGTGATCAAAGGGGGGAAACTATTTTTAAGGATTCTTTAAGTTGAATATTTATACTGTGCAACATAGTACTAATCTTTATCGGGACTGAATGGGCACTATACTTTTTCGATATGTTTTTTATTATTACATACATTCCTAACACCTATCTTTAAAACTAAATTATATCAGTGAATTCAAAATAGTATGCTGGACAATCTAGCCTCTACTAAACTGTATCATACCTGAAGGTGTGGTTGGAGTATCCATTTTTAAAAATAAACAGCGACCACTTTTTTAATAGATGAAATTAACTGAATAAAAATTCACACCGTATTAAGCTTACCTAACAAACACGAATGATAAAAAATTGGGCATGCTAAATTGATAAAGATAATTTATTTTTACGAATTGTCAGATAGATGCCTTGAGAGCCGATACAGATTAAAATTAGGGTATATATTGATGATTTTTCAAACATAGTTTTGGCCAGGTTTTTTTTTTAATTCTGCCGTTCTGCGCGGCGGACGGATAGTTTTTTTTTTAATATTTTTAATCCCAAAAAGACAAAAATGTTGTTTCCGATGGTTATGTATTTTGCACTCGGTCCATACACAGAGGTTTTAAAACATCTAAAACATGTTGATTTACACAGAGACCGGCTTGCCAAAATTTTCTCAATTTCATTTACATCTTGTTTTTTTATTAGGATTATATAAGTGCTACTTCAAGTGTGCCAACGATAGGCTCAAAACCCCCTGCACATACTTATGGAAGACCGGAATTACGAGAAGAAGTTCACTTTATCAAAGTCTGCGATCTGTATACCGGCGGGTGCTTTAACATCGGAGAAAAACTAAACAGAAGAAACGTGATTGCACTAACGCCTGTTACTTGTTTGATAACACCACGGTATTTTTTAATGAGACACAATAAGGGCAATATATGGAACATGTAAGAAATAGAAATACGTTTTTTTTATTAATAGCTATTTGTGTATTAAGAGCGTTAAGTGCCTCATTGTGGTTCGACAGTTTTTTAACAACACTTCATTTTAGAACCCTACTGAAAAGACACGTTAAGGCTAATTCACTGAGTCACCTCCCATTCAAACCATGTAGAAATATGATGTGTTCAACAGATGATTTTCCTGTAAAGTTATCATATATTAAGTACAACTTAGGTCATTAGTCTCGTGTTCTATGTAGGTTATGGATTGTGCTAGTAGTCTAATACTTCATAGTGCAGGAGTGCTAGTACTTTAATACTCTTGCACCCCTACAGACAGGCCTTGTTACTGTTTCCCTGCGCCACTTTAGGAACAGCACTGTTAATTAGAACCCAATAGTGAATGGTCGAGTGGGGAATCCTATCTATGTATTATTATTGTTATTATTTGGGTTATCGTTATTTATTATATAATTAATATTTTTATAAAATATAATAATTAATCGATAGACTTAGACTCTTCCCATGAACATTTTTTTGTCCAAGGCTGGAACTATGTTTATATTGTTTATTAATGCGCTGATCACGAATATCAACATATAAAAGCGTAATGTTGCACCTTTAAAAGTTATAAACAATTGAATTGTTTAAATGGCTGCAAAAAGTTTGTTTGTTAAAATAAATTATAACTGGTTTTGAGTCAGAAAGGAACCTTATCGGCATACAAAATTTGAAGTTTTTATATAAGCCGTTTTTGAGCTATCGCGCCAACAGACATAGAGCGACGGAATGGGGAAATATGTTTTTCGTAATCTAGGGACCCTGAAACGTGAAAATCTGAAATATTCTCGGAAGGTGACTTTTTCTCACGATTACAATACTTCTCTCTTATCGAGGAAAGTAAAAATACATGTTGCATCACGTAGATTGGATTTAGATTAAATTTAAATGCAACTGGACATTATTTGTCCTTGTCCACCGCGACCTTTTCAGATCTATTTTGGGACCCCCTTATCTATAGTATTTAGTCTAGCTTGGTCTTTTGTCTTTTTTACTAGACTTATTAGCTTTGACAGTGGTTCCCGCCTATAGTTCCATGCGTCTGACTGTTCTTCGCCTAATGTTAGAAACTTCAATCTACTCAGGCCTTCACACTGGCACAGGACGTGGATTGATGTTTCCTCTTATTCTTCATCTTCACAGAAACTGCATACTGTTGCTTCTTCTGCTGGATTGATGACATTCGTGTGGCAACAGTGTCCGATAAGAAGACCTACTGGTATCCTATTTGTCGTTTCGCAGCAACTCGTCAGAAGGTAATTATGATATTATAATAGTAGTGGAATCGTGGTTGAAAGAAGGGGTAGAAAATGGAGAAATAGTAGACCAGGATATTTATAATTTATTTAGAGCGGATAGAAACAATGAAATATCAGGTAAGACTAAAGGAGGAGGAGTTGCAATGGCAATAAAAAAGGAGTTTAAAGTATTAAATATTACAAAACATAGTATAACCTTTGAAGTATTAGTAATAGAAATAAAAATTAAAAATAATTTAAAATGTGTATTTGTAGGTGTATACATGCCCCCGGGAAGATCATTAAATGAATATGAACAATGCTTTGATATCTTACAATACTATGTCAAAAATATTGATGAAATATTTATATTCGGAGATTTTAATTTAGCTGAAATTAAAGGTGTCGAAAACAATTTAACAAATTTGAGTTTAAAAGTTAACTGTTTATCGGAATTTTTAAGCTATAATTTGTGTTATATAATAATGTATTAAATTGTTCAGGGTCAACACTAGATTTAGTAATAGGAAGTCAGCAAAATATAGATAGTTGTGAGGTTCAAAAAGAACGACTTCCCCTCGTAAATATAGATCCATACCATCCAACATTAGAAATCACATTTTCGTTTCAAAGTATGACACAAACTCAGCAGAACAAATCACTTAAGAATAAACATAACTTCAAAAATGCTAATTTTGAAATAATGTATCGAATGTTGGAAAATAATTCTTGGCGTAATGTCACTGAGGAAAAAGATACTAATACTGCCTTGGAAGTTTTTTACGAGAACATAAATAATATATTTAATGCAACTGTTCCATTTCACAAAACCGTTAAATTTAAACAATTTCCAACTTGGTTTACTGCGGATATAAAAAGATTATTAAAAGAAAAAGATAATTGTCGGAAATTGAGAAACATATCTGAATTTTATCAACAAAAGTATATCGCTACCAGAAGACAATTAAAGTCAATGATAAAAATAGAGTATAGAAATTATCTCAAAAAAATAGAAAGTGATATGTTAGGTGACTTGAATACGTTTTGGAATTTTATAAATAAAATAAAAAGTAATAAAAGCAATGCAAATTCATTTACTTTTAGTGGAAACTCAGTACCCGAGAAAGATATCTCAAATAAATTTGCAGAGTTTTTGGCATCTGCGCACAGTCTTGAAAAGTCTAACTATGATTTAAATAATATAAATATATCAGATCAATATAATTTATTGGTTTTAAAGGAGGTCAATGAGTCGGATTTTGATGAAGCTATAAAAAAATGAAAACCAAAAAAGTGTGCAGGTGTAGATAATATTCCGCCTTATATTGTAAAAGCCTGTGGTCATTTATTAAAAGTTCCTTTACTTCATATATATAATCTTATTCTTGCCAATTCCGAGTTTCCGCTAAAGTGGAAAACGGCGATATATACACCTATTCACAAGTCAGGAAAAAAAGCGAGATCGAAAATTATAGAGGGATAGCGATTATGTGTGCACCTTCAAAACTATTTGAACAAATTTTATATAACAAATTACTTAATCATGTGCAAAATATCATAGTAGATGAACAGCATGGGTTTATTAGAGGGAGATCTGTTAATAGCAACTTACTTTTATTTGCAGAAAATGCAGCGAAAGCTCTGAAGGACAAAACGCAACTAGATATAATTTATACTGATTTTACTAAAGCTTTCGATCATATTAATCATGATATCTTGCTGCAAAAATTGTGTAACTATGGTTTATCTATGAATTTGTTAGTATTATTAAAAACGTATTTAGAAAATAGACATTTTATAGTCAAGTTCAATGGAAATACATCAGGTAAGTATTAAGCCAATTCGGGAGTACCACAGGGATCCAACTTGGGCCCATTGTTGTTTATTTTATTTATAAATGATCTCCCTTCTTACATACAACACTCTAAATATTTATTTTTTGCTGACGATTTTAAAATGTATCAAAGCATAAAAACCGTTAGAGACTGTGTAGCTTTACAAAAAGGTATCAATGCCATTTATACGTGGAGTGAAAATAATAAGTTAAAATTTAACATTAAGAAATGCTTTATACTTTATACAATTGACCGTAAGAGAAACAATGTTATTATATTTGACTATAAGATGGACCAACAAATTTTAACTAGACGATCCGAAATTAAAGACCTCGGTGTAAGCTACGACAATCAATTTTCGATTGGTTCGCATATAAATAAAATTGCTCTTAGTGCTAACCGTATATTAGGGTTCATTATTAGACAAACTCAAGCTTTTTCTAATCTAAATACTATAAAATATCTTTACTACTCACTAGTTAGGACAAAATTAGAATATGCCTCGATTATTTGGGGTCAACAACCCCAAATTTACTTAGATAAATTGGAAAAAATTCAAAACAAATTTCTTAGGTATCTTTACTACAAAAAACATCGTCATTGGCCAGACTACAATTACGTTCGAACATCTATGTTACGACAAGAATTTGGAATATCCTCACCGATTAATAGACGGAAACAGTTTATGATGACATTTTTATACAAAATTTTAAATAACCAAGTAAACTCAAATGAATTACTGCTACTCATACCATTTAATGTTCCTCCTAGGCGCACTAGGTCTCCCTTTATATTCAATATATCCAATAGTACCCTAAAATCTCCTCTTTCATTTGTACTTCGACTCGCAAATAATTTTAATTCTTTGTGTAACTTTGACTGGCATGTGAGTTACAAACAGTATCAAAGAAATCTTAATGAGTACCTCAATGTTTTAAGTATTTAAATATGTATGCTGTTTCCGCTGATTGTTGTGAAGCTTTGTAGTCTTGATATTCAAACCCATTCATACAAGTAAAAATGTAAAGTGTCATAATGTCATATGTATGATTATATTATATATTATTATGTATATTATGTATTGTACTACTCATGTAAAAAGGCCGTAAGGCCTGTTTGAGTTTTATTAATAAATAAATAAATAAATAAATAAATAAATAAATAAATAAATAAATAAATAAATAAATAAATAAATAAATAAATAAATAAATAAATAAATAAATAAATAAATAAATAAATAAATAAATAAATAAATAAATAAATAAATAAATAAATAAATAAATAAATAAATAAATATACAGTAGGTCTTTGTGAACTTGGCCGGCGGTTCTTTAATGAACTCTTTGGTCTGTCTCCATCTTGTATAGTTGTTCCTCCATTCCTGAAACTTTTTTGCATCCATTGTTTGATGGATGCATTAGCAAATGAAAATCACTCTGTAACTGACGGAATGCGCGTGGCAGACGAAAATGAACACGGGAACATCCGGTATGATGATTAATGACGTATGTTTTATTAAATAGTGTTTAACAACAACAACAACAACAACAACAAAAACAACAACAAAAATAACAACAACAACAACAACAAAAACAGTGCTGTTCCTAAAGTGGCGCTGGAAAACGGTAACAAAGCCTACACAGAACACGAGGCGAAATAACCTTAGCAGTTGAAGCCGATGACAAAAAAAAAGAAACAAACAACAAAAAAAGAAATCATGATAAAAACGCTGAAAACTATTTTCAAGTTCCTAAATTCGTAATTTGAGATACCGACTGTATCCTAATCAAACACCCTCGTACATCTTCAGATTATTTTTATTTTCTAGGGTACAACAATATTTGACTCATCAAATTCCCAACACAGAGATTGTTTTTAAAAAATTCGTCGAGCAGAAAAAATTTAAAAAATTTAGCAAGTCGTTAATTAGAAATATGCTGGAAACACATAAGATTCTGACAGGAAATACAATTCACAACATACCTTACAGCATTAGGCTTAGAGAGGGGGTCGACACTGACTATTTTTAATAGTATTTGTTTATACAATATTTTTTTAAGTTTATTTTGTACTTCACATGTATATATAATAAAAGAAAATATATAAAATGAACTATGTTTAAATGATGCAGACACTTGGAACCAGAATACAGAATGAAGAAAGACTAATTGGAACTTTCGAAGGTAAACACTTTGTGAAGCCGTTTTGTTTTGCGTTTTTTTTATTCCGTTTCTTTGATTTATTTTATAACAAAATTTTTAATGTATTCGTTATTTGATACGTTTGATGAAAATCCCTTCCCCGTCGCTATTTTGTATGTTAATAATTAGCTTCATCTATTTAGTTCAGGAATTCAAATTAAAATGGGATTTTGAAATATTTATTTAATTTAATTAAATTGCGAATAGCTTTCGTAAGCAATATATTATTAATTTTATCCGATAATTAGATTCTGATTGTGGTTATTTAACCTAGTATCTACCCTATTCAATTCTTTCAGTTTCCGGAAATAGTGTCAATAATTATTAAAGACCGTTATTGATGCTCTGATAAAAATTAAAGTCTGATAACAACTTGACCCCAGGATTTTTCATATTTCCATCTAGAGAGTGCTTGCCTCGATGGGTTGTGGCAAACCACATTAATAAAATTGGCGCCCGAGTATTTCCCGATTTAAAGGCGTCACAAGTAGTTTTTGCGTGGTGAGAAAACCTCTTATAATATCGTCATAGAAGAAGCGAAATCGGGTACGTATCTGACTTTTTCTTAAAAATGAGTATTGACGAGTTTTTTTTAAGCTGAAATTCATCTTTTGCTACGTTTGAAATGTATCTCCTCGAGCTGAGCGAGTAGATTTTTTGGTCATGTGACATCTCGAGAAAACCATATCACCGGAGCAAACGAAAAAAAAAAAAAAAAAAAAAAAAAAAACGGTATCGAGGAAAAAAAGCAAAGCGAGGTACTTTTCAAACGCGGCAATTGTTACCTATCACATGCCATTTGTCATTTTTGGTAGAGCTGTTTTTTTATTGTTTATTCGAGTCCGATGATATTCGTGAGTTTAGTGTTTTATAGAAAAATTGGCGATGATTTAATTAAAAAATTAGCGCACTTATTGAATCGAAAAGTTTAGAAGGAATTAATTTTTAAATTAAGCTGTCATTTGTCACAATTCACTGACATTTGCCCACCACCTCAAAACATCGGGGTATAGATTTGTAATTCTGGTTAACAAAATGGTAATAAATAAACGCGAGATCTAACAAATCTCTGTAATTAATTTATGAATACATTTGGTGGGATGGTGGCGTCACCGATGGATAAAACAACAGACCTTAATTATAAAAATGTTATCGTTCTGATGGTCTAAAATGTATTAAGAATGTTTTACTTTAAATATTAAATACAATTTATTGTCTTAACTTACCTGTATGGGACTATGTGTAGGTGAAAACTGCTGGGTAGGCGACACCGATACCGACACACTACTGTAGCTACAACAGCTCGAATGGGAGGCGTCGCTATTATTTCTACTTAGATTCGGGGTAAGCGTAACGTGTCGTTGGGTAAGTGGAGACTGATTTGGGGAACTAAAAACACTGTAAGCAGAATGGACGGCAGAATCGGGGCTTGGAGTCGGGGGAACATTCAAACCTTTGTGCATCATGAGATCTTTGTGACTTATAATTGGCACTCCTGAAACATAATAAAGACCATGTGTAAAACTTAAAATTCGAAGAGTTTGGTATTTTTTTTCATAACTAACGTTTACGGTAAGAGAACTGGCATCATCACAACAATAGATACATAACCAAGACATAATTGTTTACAAAATGTCTGAAGCCAAAACGAGTTCGCTTTCTAACCATCTTGGGCAAAAATGCCATATTCTGAATGAACACTGCTGCCAACATTACGGTGTTCTTGACATTAGAGAGTTGAAGTGATGTTATGAGCGTAAACGTATACGTGTAAATTGACATCTACGCATGCGTATTTAAATATCCTTCACGTTCACGTACATACGTAAGCTTACGGACTCTTGCGTATGTACGCAACACAAACAAAATAACCTCTTTTTAATTTTGAAAGTAGAAATCCTGATATTAATTGTCATTATCTGTCATGATACGTAAATGTCACGATGCGTTTTACAACTTCAACTCTGATTTTGGACTTCAACGCAAACATTATATTTCTGCGTTGACGTTCACGTTAACGTACTGGAAATACTTCAACTCTCTAATAGTGATTTCTCATGAGGAATGTGAAAAGTAACAAAAGCGTAATAAGAAACAATATTATTTCTAAGAGTTATAAAAGTGAGACATAGCACTGATTTTTTTTCTAAAACTGCGAGATGGTTTACTATTTGCTACGACTAATGGGATTTTTCGTTAGAATGTGCACCGAAGTGTTAGCAATAAGAATCTGCCATTTTTTGGAATATAATAAATTTGTGACTTATGAGCTTTCTGAAATGACTGATTCAATTGTCAGTAAAAAACTTTTTAGTTATTGATATTAAATATACATTAAAATGAGTTATTCTTGTGGTAGACTCGATAAATAATATAGCATTTCTATTTTTATTTGGTCTATAATTATAAATATTTCGTTAATTTTAATAAAACTATATGAAGTCAATTTAATTACGAGTATTAAAGAAAAAAATTTTAAGCGCCTCGGTGATGGTGAGTTCAGAGCACTTGCCTTTTTTCTTGTTTATTTTATTTTATAAACTAGTGAAAGTTGAAATTAGTTATTTTATCTTAATAACCTAATATAATTTTTAATATTGTAGATTTTCATTAGTGGGTCGTATAAAAAGTATGCTGTACAACTCGAATGGACTGTCCATGTCGCACTCAGACGATTGAGGAGCACTCCGCTAAGGCGTCCTCCGCTAAGGCGTCGTGCTCAAATTTCGTGTTCGTGGGATATGGCCATCATAATATCCACTCTTGTTGCACAAACTACTATTACTCATTTCTTGTACATAAAAGGATAAATTAAAAAGATCTAAATCATTACAATACTTGTTAAATTTAAAACATATACAGACACAAGAGTTTTATTGGCTGAATTGAAAAATTAACTATGCCAATAAAATATTTAATTCCCGGAATTAAATCGTATTAGGAATTTCCATTATCATCTATTGTCCTCTAATATTTCAATAATAGGTAAACAGGTATCAGACGACAGCTCAAATAAGGGATTAAAAAGGGATAGACACGAATTCGTTGAAGCCGAAATAGTTTATGCTGGTTAATCCAACACAAATTCAATGTTTTATGTGACAAATTGTATACTCCTATATGGTAAACAGAGATATCAATCAAGTAAGGAAGGTGTATGGGAGGGTATATTTTATGGTATTTGTTATGGCACTGTTTAGAGTTTTTGAATTTTATGTATGTACGTTTATTATGTAAAACTATTTGAGTCTATTGACTGTTTTTTGCATGGAATTCTAATAGTTTTTTGTACCTATTAAATATTTTATCTATGTTTACCCGTTTTATTTAAGCATAGTATCCTTGATTCCACAAAAATTAGCTGTTACATCTTACAAAATGTAAACAGTAAAATTATGAAAATAAAAATTAACCTCTCATTTTCATATTATATAATATGCATATACATACAAAATTTGATTCATATAAGTTGTGCATTCTAAAGATAAAAGTTTGTGTTCTTTACGCGCTTGTTTAGATTTTTTGATTTTTGCTAAGTTAAACTGGTTTATTTGTATTTTATCATACTTTAAGTTAAACGTTTTACGACATGAAAGGTAATTTACAAAATAGAAATAAATTTTAAAATTTCTTCCAAAAACGATACTAATGCCTTGCCTGCTTATGGAATTTTCTTGTCGGCCGGAGCCTTGAAAACAGAAGTAAAAACTATTCGTCTTTGTTTAGAAATTTTTAAGTGCCTCTACTCACTGCCGGGGGAAAGTTATACCCATCTTTTTCTTGCGCGAAATGTGATTCCTTGTGTGTCAGACGCAAACCTTAAAGAGAATAGGGCTAAGGATTGAACTCAGTAAAATTTCCATTTAATTAGGTTAATTATTTATTTAAATAATGAATTGTGTGTGGGCTAAAGGATCAATATCAAAAGTAAACAACATGCGCATTTTTCAAATATTTTCTTTATTTTCCTCAATCAGCTTCGTTATTGCTCGATTCTTTATATAATACCATCTATTTCATTTAATTCTATAGAGATCTAGTAGGCAAGCTTGTCATGTTATGTCCTTGTATTTTGTACTGTAGCTGTAAATTATGGAGCCAATTTTAAAAATGTCACGTTTCAGTACATTTTCGTTAAAAAGTATTGAAACAAATGTTGAAAATAGTAAGCAATTTGATAAGAGAAGTAGTAATAGTAAAGTATAGTATGTGATACATTTTTATTCATATTTCAGTATACATGTACATACCTGTTACAGGATGACGTTGACTAAGTAGAGGTGAATTGCTAGGTGTGCTGTGCAAGGAATAATTACCCATAGGAGGTTGCTTCAGTCTGAGTGTAGGACTTCCTTTTGAATCGTTTATAGAAGATGATTTTGATTGAGAAAGTGAAAGGTTTTCAGGTACCTGTAAAAAAAATTTTTTTTTTTTCAGAATTTATAAATTTATGGAATTATTTTTAAAATAAAAACAGTTTTTTCCTCTTAACATTAAGGGGAGTCAGGTGGTTCTAAACTTCTAACCAGCGCAACGGCAAAAATCTTTATTCTATACATCTTTAGGTTTAATTTGATACCAAGTGTATTTGATTCTGTGCAGTTTGTCACTCTTATAGGGTGCTATAGTAATTTTTAACCGACTTCAAAAAAGGAGGAGGTTATCAATTCGTCGCGATATTTTTTTTTTATGTATGTTCAGCAATAATTCTTTAACACGGTGTTCGATTTCAATAATTTTTTTTGTTAGAAAGGGGCTACTTCAGGGGTGGTCCCATATAAATTTGGTCAAAATCTAATAATTGGGTCCATGAGAAAATCCTCAAACTCTTCATTTTTTATGTATGTTTAGCGATAATGCTTTACCACCTTGTCCGATTTATATGATTCTTTTTTTGTTAGTAAGGGGGTACCTCAGGGGTGGTCCCATATAAATTTGGTTAAGATGTGGTGATGGCATCTGCACGTTTTTGAAGTCGGTTTTTTTAAATTTTTAATTTCTAATACTTGTACATCTACCACATTCATTTTTGCTGCTCATTTGTCTCAGCAGCTACTATAACAAAAGTCAGTATTGTGTTCATCAAAAATATAACCATTTAATATTTAAGACTTAGAGGGAATAAACGATTTGACACATCGTGGTAGATAACTAAATATTTAAAATATCAATCTGCTTGTGTTTTATTCTTTCTAATTACCTATTATTAATCCAAAATCAAATAAATCAGTTCTTTTCAAGACTAACTAGGTACTTGTATTAATTTTCGTGCGTTTTTTTTATAAACAATTGGATTTAGGCCATTTACCTTTTTCAGGAAAACAAACTACCTATTATAAACTAGTACAAAAGTTTGAACGAATTTGGAATATGGTTGGTATTGAATCCAAAATAGATATTTCTGTTAAGATGCTCTTTAAACAATAATAATAGTACATCATCTTTATTTAACAAATGTATACAAGCATTTGTACGAGTAAAGCTACGGTTTTTTAGTACAGTGAGAGTCTGCTGAGCGCCGCGAACGTCTGCTAAAATCTAACAATATTAATACTATGGAAATGGTTTGTTAAAGTGAGCACAGTTAGGCAGACATCTCGACTGGTCCGATTACGTCGACATCAGGGGGGGATATCGCGCATGGTGTCATGGCGGCGTTGACGTCATGCGTAGAGTTAGTATAGTTGGCGCGAAATAAATATCACATGACAGACGCATGTTGCAGTAGTTTGTGAGTCGTTTATAGTGATTTATAAGATATTAAGCAGCTATTTGTATTATATTATGTGGTAAACTTTGTTCTCTGTGAGTGGTTTTAGTGAAAAACATTGAAAAATTGCGGTACGGATGTAACAGTAACAATTAAAGGAAATGATTCAAGAAAGATATTATGGTTTTTCGCTTTCCTCGACAGTAAAAGCTTAGTCAGAAGTAAGGAGTGGCCCAAGGGCGGCTCCAGCAAAGGCTCAGGGGAGCAAGCCGTTCCCTAGATTAAAATTCTTAAAATCCATGACCCTCTAATTAAAAAAAAAGCTGAATAGGCAATGATATCCTCCTTCCCAAGAAAATTCGACATGAAGCAGCCCTTGCAGTGGTTTGTGACCCTGTAGATACATTTTCATATGTATTCCAAGCACATTAAACCTTCCAGTTTTAAGAGAGACCTCTAATCAGAACTTCACATATTGTAAAGTTGTGAATGAATCAGTGTGAATCACATTGGTTTATTCACAACTTGGGACTTATAAAACTGGAGAATCTACCCTTTGAAGGCTAAAAATTTTGCAACATAAGCAAAAGTGAAAAAAGAAACTTTCGACTTGTACTTGATGAATGAATTAAAAAACTGTCAGCGACAAGGTCCAGGAAAAATGCAGCGACATTTTATTTTAATTTTGTATATGCACCCACCATATTTTATGTAGCAGTTATTTGTATTTGGTACATTTTTTTATGTTTTGCGTTATATTTTTTTTATTAAATTGGTTAATATAATGCAGGTAAATGAGTAACCAGTTGCAAATCCTAATGAGGTAAAAATTTCCGGCATACCCAGATGCGAAATTGTTACCAGGATCCTCAGTTTCGAGTTGCGAAGATACCCTTTATTTCATTATCCTGGTTATAAAAACTATTCTTTAGAAGTCGAATTTGTATAAATCATTAAGAAAAAACTGTTCAAAAAAATATTTCTCTTATGAATGCATTTCCATTTATGTTCCTTCATAGTTCTTTCCTTAACTATCCCATAATAATATCCATAGATATTTCATGTAATTTCTAAAATATCCATAATATTCATTAAATTTCTGTAAGTAGCATATATTTTCCTCACACTTCGTCAGTATTTTTAAATTCGCGCCTATACAAACTCTACGCGTGACGTCATGCGCGTGGCCGTCCTATTTTTGACACTGTTGATATCCTACCTTTTATTTTTTATACCATGCGTCGACATCAATTTTAATTTGATTCGGGCGCACTCGTTCACTTGAACATACAGTAGACTGTCAAGTGAAATGAAGTTAGGATAATTTGAGTTATAATTAAAGTGATAAATTGTCGTCAAAATGTTCTTCTGAAGAAGATGAAATATTAATTAATATGGTAAAGGAGCATCCCGCACTTTATCAAGTAAAAAGAAGAAATTTCAAAAATATAGTTAAAAATATTGTTTTATTTTGGTCATTATTTACTTAAAAACTAACAGTTCTTCTTCGTTTTCTTCTTCCATTAAAATAATCGCTATTAACGCGGTATTGAATTCATGAAAACTTATTTTCACCTGTATTTATTACCAGAACAAGTTGAATTGATCTATATTCTAATAAACCACTTCTACTAAAACTGACGTGAGTCGAACGCAACAGATTCTGCCATACGCGTACGTCGAACGTCGTGCACTGTCCTAACACTCCTAACAAGCCGTAGCCCAACGTACGCGTACGGCAGAATCTGTCGCGTTCGACTCACGTCAGTTCATACCTAATGTCAAAAAATTCAACTTTAATGATTTTATATCGAATCGACTACTTTAGAACTATCTAGTTATTTTTTTTTTTTTTTTCGATTTATGGCCTAGGTATATGTACCTAATATGCCAGTCTCAGTTTTTATGTTTAAATTCTCAATCATGTGTATTCTGTGTAGGCTTATTACTGTTTCCCAGATTAAAACAAGAAAACCGAGAATTCCGAAGCAGAAGCGTATGATTAAAACGCACCTATTAAAAATATTGCGCCAAGATGTAGGCAACACGTAATAAGGGATCAAAATGGCGGAATTTTCTATCTCCTTTTAAAATGCACTCAGAAAGCTGCGCAGTGCGTATAGTAAAAGAAAATCAAAGTTTGTGGCTTATCCACATACTTTGCGACCATTCTCCGTATAGTAAAAGAAAATCAAAGTATGTGTTCCAATCAAATGAAACGCGGTTCTAAGGTTTGGTATGTCTAAAGGGTTGCGACATACGATGTAGTCTATTTACAATCAGAGCTGCAGTACTGAATACTGTATCTACTTAAACAAATTACTTAAGTACAAAAAGTACTCAAGTACTGTACCTTAAGTACCTGCAAAAATGCCTGTACTTGTACTTACATTTTAAGTTTTTGCCGTTGTACTTGTACTTAAACAGTAAAATTTGGAATTAATTACTTTTTTACTTAAAATAGCGAAGAAAGAAGGCAACTAAGTACTTTAAAAGTACTTAAGTAGTTATAACATTCTTAAGTATGTCAATGTACTTAAATACCCAGAATGTACTTCAGTACTTCAAAAATTTTAACGCTTTTTTCTAGTTTCAACAGGATTTTTCTTCTTAATTGACGGAGCTGATGGGTATAGAACCCTCTTAACTGACAATATAACTATGCTTTTCAATGAACATGTACAATTGGTAAAAATCAGAGTCAGTAAACCACCAGTTCCCTGGCTTACTGATAATTTAAAGTTAATTCTCAAGGGACGGGATAAGGCATTATCTAAATTTAAATGTAACAGAACACCTGAAAACTGGATGCCTCAATTAAGAGGGAAAAGACAGCATTTTTATCCAGTTTGCAGAATGAAAAAAATGAGAAACGTTTATGGAAAGGCCTACACAATATGAATGTTCATTCTATTAAAAAAAAAAAAAAAATTATCTACCTGTGAACCTACAAAATCCTACAGAAATAAATGATTATTTTACTAGCAATTTTAAAAATCTGACAATTGTCTTAACAAGATTCATTATTATGCTAATAATAAATACCTGAACAATACTTTTAATTTTACACTAGTTAATCAAAATAATGTCCGAGATGCAAAATTCAATCAACTCTAATGCTTCCGAAAGTGATGGTATACCTTTGTACATGCTTGAACTGTGCTTACCTACTATCTTAGATCACATAACACGTTACTAAACCTCTGTGAAAATGTTATTCGTGCAATTGATAAAAGACTTGCTGTTGTTCTAATTGCCTTGGATTATTCTAAAGCTTTCGATTTAATTGATCACGAACTTTTGTCCGCAAAACTTTAATGCTATGGATGTAGTTATATTGTTTTATCTTTTTTCAAGTCCTATTTGTGGAATCGTACTCAAAAAGTAGTGATTGATAATAACTTCTCGGAATTAAAAATTATTATTTCAGGCGTCTCTCAGGGATCCATCATGGGTCCTTTATTATTCTTACTATACACCTCTGACTTAACAAAAGTACTTAAGGATAGTCAAGTTCAACTTTACACCCAGTTATTAAATTATTTCGAACCCCAAGATATACACAATGCTAACAATCTGATTAATAGAGATTTGCAGTTTCTATTACAATATTCAAAAGAACACAATCTTACTATTAATCCTTCAAAAACTACTGCTGTTCTGTTTTGCAGTGAAGCCAGATGTATTGTTATTGAGAGATCAAAGAGACTCGAGTTGGATGATGTTAGTATTACTTTAAATAACGAATCAAAAAATTTGGGTCTACTTATTGTTCAGTCTCTTAGATTTAAGAGTCATATTAAGACCTTGATCAAGAGATGCTACTCAAGATTGCGGTTGCTTTACATTAATAGGCATATTATTATATTGAACTTTAAAATGAGAAAAAACTTTGTGAATATTTAGTTTTATCAATATTAAGTTATTGCAATATTGTTTACTATCCTTGTCTGGACAAATTGTCACAGAGCCAATTACAGCTTATACAAAATGCTTGTTGCAGATACATTTTTGGTTTGAGGAAATATGATCATATCTCAATTTATTTCGCTCAGCTAAAATGACTCAAAGTTGACAATCTATAACAACTAAATCTTTTAATATTTTTGCATAGACTATTAAAGACAAGGAACCCTACCCTGCCTATTTGTTTGAGAAATTAATTTTCAGAACATCTATTCATAATGTTGATATTAGACATAATATGCTTACAATGCCTCATCATTCCACTGCAAAGTTTGAAAGAGGTTTCACTTATAATGCTGTTAAAATGTATAAACAGTTTTATTTTCTAAATTGGAACGCATCATTGCATATCTTTAGACGTGAGAATAAAAAGTATTTTTTGGCTAAGCAATCAATAACCTGTTTGGATTTCTTATTATATTTAATTTTTTCTATATTTCAATTCTTGTTCTTTGTAATTATTTAAATGTCTATTTGTTATTAATACTATAAGATCATTATGTTATTACTATGTAAATGTAATGTAAATAGTATGCTATTATGTCAACTAGGAAGGTTATGGGTTAAGAGTAGCTGTATAGCTAACCTTCGCCTCCCTGGTGCAAATGTATATATGCATTTGTTTTAATAAAGACGTATTATTATTATTACTGTATCATTCCTGAATCTAAAATGTTAGACAAAAAAAAACTGACAATAACATACAAGGGACATCTTATTAACTGTCAGTTGTCTAACTTTGTAAAAAATAAAAGAAATATTGCACAAAATTAAGTAATCAAAGATCACTACACAAAATAACATGTTCCATATAGTTTTTGAAACGTCAAAGTAAACAATTTCATACACATTCATAAAGAGTGCGTTATAGCATATTAATGAGTAAGAAACGAGCTTTGCTTGCGAGTTGAACACTATATGGCCACAGGCCTGTCACTCCCTATACTTCCCGCGAGTTTCGAAAAGTAGAGAGGGCGCGCTCGCTTCGCTCTCTTCTGCGTAAGCGTGCTCTTATGGTGTAGGTGAAAAAAAAGGGAAAAAGGGCGCGCCCGACCTACGTTTCAAAATTAGCGCAAATGTCTAAACTTAGGCCAGGCGCGCTCCCTTCGCTCGCTCTCTTCTGTAGTGGTTAGGAGGTGGGTGGGACGAGCGTAGCATGATCTTATGATGTAGATGGAAAAGGCACGCTCGGCTGACGTTAGGTTAGGCAAAGACGTTGTTTGCATCTAAATTGTGATTTCACTAACTTATTCCTACTCATCCATTCCAACAACTATTCATCAGCTTTATTATAAACTCTCATAACATCTATTATGTAATTAAATTCCATTTTACATAAAGTCGGTAATTACTACTTAAAAGCCACACCACAAAAATTTAAAAGTAAAAAAATCACAGATACGTATATCTCTTTTCATATCAATGCCATAATTGTTTTGTGAATAATACATACATGTTCGATGTCAATAATAAGGCAAATAAGCTAAAAAACTGCAATTTTTGATTAAATTTTGCTTAAAAATTCCTGGTTTCCCATAAATTTTTAACTTACTGTATAAAACAAGTACTTTTTAGTGCTTCGAATTAGCTCTGAACTCTCATCTATCTATAAAGTAGACACATAAAATCTGGAGAAACTTTGTTAATATGGCAACGGAGCAAACTCAACTACCCCATGTGTCATGTGCCAACAAAGGTAATTTGATGATTTATTTTTTTCATTTTATGTTTTGTGGAAGTAAATGGTTAAACAGACAATACAATGCATTTAATTTTAATATAAATTAAATTAGCAAATGCAAAATAATTTTCCATAGATATCTAATTTCAGTTAAAATGTAACAAAAGTAAGTTACTTCAATTATAATATCATTAAAACTTCGAAATTGTCACCTATATAATAGTATGATAAAGCCAAAATAACCTATAAAATTACAACTTTTAATTCATTTTTCTCAAAATTTTGTGGATTTTCCGCAAATTTTTTTTTTAGGTATTTACTATATAAAATGAGTACTTTTTATTGCAATAATTTTTTTCTTTTAATTCCGACACTCTTAATCTTATACGGACCCCACATCAACAATAGTTGTTTTGTATTATATAGTCGTAGGCAACAAATACATATATTCCACGATACTGTTTAGTTTACTGTGCAAAAAATTTTAGTATAACCTCAAGAACATGCACAATTAAAAATAAGCTTGAAGTAAATTGGCTATTAAAAAATAGATGATTTGGTGAACAATAACTAAATAAACAATCATTTCTGTAATGTTGGTTATCTAGATCAGCGTTACTCAAAGTGTGGTCCGCGGAGCCCTGGGGCTCCGCAAAGCGTTTGTGGGGGCTCCGCGAATAAAATAATAGTCATAATAAAAATAAAGAAAAGAAGCATTACTATCGTTACAAAAGGGAGGGACTTGGCTTGAGGACCTTTTTTTAGAAGTTACTAAGAGGAAGGAGGAGATGATTTTATTTGAGGACTTTTTTAGAAGTCAGTCACTAGGAGTAACGATGATATGTTTTTTTTATTTTCCAGAAATGTTTTTAGGTCAAATATTTCGGAAGGAAGGAGAAAGGAGGATATGATTTTGCTTGGGGACCTTTTTTTTACAAATGTGTTTAGGGCTCCGTCAAATATTTCGCTTTTGAAAAAGGTTCCGTCGCCAAAAAAGTTTGAAAACCACTGCTTTAGATGGAGCACATAATATTACAATTCCCCTCTAATTTTTATTATTTTGTTTATCTCCAGATTTATAAATAGGTATGTAACTTCATAGTTTCCATTTTGTTGGATATATTGAAAATTTGAGAATTAAATTAAAAATATGTAATAAAGGTTTTACTAGAAAATCCTTGAAGCCTATTAAAACGTATGGAGGAATATTATCGTTACCTGCTGATTTCATAGCTTCATTGTAGTCTAAAAGAGTAATTGAATTTAGATCGCAACCATCAAAGTTATTACAAGAATATTTTAAAAAGTCTAAGCTATAGTTTCATTTTTCGGCTGAATGGACAGAGATAAAGAAATTTGCAAATTTTTCAGCGGTCAGACGCTCCAACTTTTTGACCTTCAAATTCAAATGAATACGAACAACGTCCTTCATTTCTTTTACTATTTACATAATTCCAAAAATTATTGACATTTTCAATCGTTTTTCCTTCATTGTTTTTATATAGTTATTGTGATTATTTCGAATTAATAATTTTAGATCTCTTTGCGCTTGAATGTATTTGGTATTAAAATATTCAGAGACCTTCCGCATTCTCCTATAATGGTTTTTCTCTTTTATTATATACATGACTTGTTAGTTTTGGTAACATATTTCTATGGTCTGATAACAATTGTTCTATGATATAGTGTCATATATCTCCAACATGTCTCAATAAATAGTACGACATAGTTTAGTTTATATCCCAGGTACTGATATCGGTAAATATTTAATTAAGTCTTCATGATATAGGTACACACTTAATATAGACACAACTATTTAGTTTCTTGAATTAATTTAGCCAAGTGCAATATTTATTTTTTATATCGTCTTTAAAAAAAACTGTAATGTAAGTTTAACTTCCATTTTTTTTGTAAATGTATGCGACACCATTATTCGAGTTAAATCCTCACCACTACACCAGTCTGACACTGTTTATCAGTACCTCTAGCACAGTGTTTCTTGAAGAAAATAATAGTCATAATAAAAAAAATACTAAAGGGAGGACCTGGTTTGAGGACCTTCTTTTTAAGATTTCACTAAGAAAGGATCTGATTTTGTTTAAGGACTTTTTTTAGATTTCATGGACCTGCTTTTGCTTGGGAACTTTTTTTTTAAATGCCCCGTGGTTGCAAATTAAAATAAAACAATATAAAAATCTATTTTTATTATTTTAGGGCTATGTTAAATATTTCAAAAAGGTTCCGTCTCCAAAAAAAAGTTTAAGAAACATCGGTCTAGATAAAGTGAATAAAGATGAAAGAATTGAAATCAAGTTACCTGATTTCCAATCTTAATTTAATATCTTTGAATATTATTGAAAATTACTGACTAGAAAATGGACAACATGAAAAACCATCAAATTTCATGACTTAGGACCTATTAATAATATATTTCTAATTGTAATGTAACATTCATTTTCGTAACAAGTGATTTTAAAATTAAAATGAGAAAAAAGTAGTTTTCGTTTAAAAAATTATTTTAAAAAATATATGATTTATGGTTTAGTCAATGTGGTTGTAGAAAAAGTATACTGTACTACTCGTGCAGAAAACATACCGTGTGATTGTGGTACTTGCTCGTGCCACAAGCTTCACACTTCCTGTGGAATAGGTTACATTCTGTACCTGGTGCACAATACATTATTTTCCCATACAAGGTGATATGTTTATTTTTGCATGCAATTATCGAATCAGGTGTCAGTTGAAATTAAAAATATATAAAAATACTCACTTGGACTGAATTCTCTTCATCGATGCACATACCGTCTCTTTCGCCGTCAGAGAGCTCTCCTTCCCAGCTCATGGGTCGTGGAACATCGTCTCTTTTTTTCTTAGATCGCATATTCACCGATTGGAAGTCTATCTGGGCAACTTCTGCATCAGAACTGTCTAATCCGTCTACAGTGCCTGTAATAAGTTATTTACCTTTAATTAACTTGTTTTTAGTGTTCAGTATTCAAATTGGCAAAAAAGAACACTTATGGAATCATTTCGGTATGTAACTGTCACAGAAATGTGACTTAGAGATTCTTTGAAGTTCTCAATTGAAATTTGAACCAGTTGTAGGTTACAGGTGGTAACTATAAAAGTCGTTTTTTATCTTGGGAATCAATTTTGGAGGTTAAATATAGGAAGTTGTAAAAAAAAAATAATTCAGTTAGTGTTGTTCTTGCACAAAAATATACTATACTGGTACTTAGTATCAGCACCTGGTCTAAATCTATCAACATATCAACTCTACTTATTTTAAAACTACGGTACAGAAAATAATAATTTTAAAAAACCGACTTCAAAATCGTGCAGATGTCATCATCAAATCTTGTCCAAATTTATATGGGAACACCCCTGAAGTACCCCCTTTCTAACAAAAAAGAATTATTGAAACCGGATAACGTGGCAAAGAATTTACGCTGAACATACATAAAAAAATTTATATATTACAACGAATTGAGAACGTCCTCCTTTTTTTGAAGTCTGTTAAAAAATTGAAAAGGGTTCTAGAAAAAGTAAGTTTTTACTGCCCTTCTCCTACTAGTATGTATGTACTAGAACTGCTTTTGCTTTTATCTTAACTAAGCCTTTGAAATACCCATCTGATGTGACAGAAGAACTTTGTAGAATTTTTCACACAATCAATTTTGTAATGATACTCCAGCATACAGGATGTTAGAAATAGTGATTATTGAAGCAAAAAAGCCTATTGAGTCCTAAATTCTGAGGAGAGACAACGTATCATAACTCTGAAACCTTTATCAAACACATTTTCACAAAAAAAAAGTATTTCTCAAAATTTCTATTGATGGACTGATTGGCAGATAAAGTCTCGGAAATACCCCAAGCCCATTCGCTTTCTTTATTGTTTAAACGTAAAATGGATGAAACAAAAAGTTACTAAATTTTGGCAGGTCCAGGTGGCAGTTATCAAAATATTTTTTAATTTGTCAATTTGTTTTCAACAAAATGGTGAAACGATTTATCAAAAACTTTAATCCTAAACGTAGTTTCCTATTTTAAGAGACACAAAGAGGTACAATCAAATGGCTGCAGAGGCATTAAATATTTCGCAGAAAACTATCTATAGATTTAGTAAACCAATAAATTCTGATACGGAGCACGTGAAAATATTGTCTAAAAAAAGTAAGCCAAAATAAAACAAAAGTCAATTCTTTAATATTAAGTAAGTTGAGGCAAGTTATATATAAGTTGTAAGAAGAGACACAACATGTAACAATTAAATTGTTACATAAACGATTTTCGGAAGAAATGTCTGATCTGAAATGTTCTGCAGGGTCAATTAATACATGGATTCGAAAAATTGGCTTTCGCTTTAAAAGAAGTAACAACAGACAGTTTTCATTGGAAAATTTAGTTAAAAAAATGTCGTTTTTGAAAAATTTTAACAAGGAGATAGAGCTGGGTAACTTTAAGCCTGTATTTATGGATAAGACGTGGTTATCTAGCAAGGTAAGTGACAGAAAAAGTTGGCAAGATGGAACGATGGCTACTGCAAATAAAAAAAAACAGGAGATGGAATTCGATACATAAATTGTCCATGGTGGCAATGAAGAAGGGTTTATGAAAAACGCAGACCTCATATGTAAAAATCAAACAAAAAGCGGGGATTACCATAATAATATTGTAATGTGAGCCATTTCATTATTCAGTCATGCTCTAATACTCCAAGTCCCTTTCTGTATTATTTGGCCTTTGAGGCTCAACTTGTCCGATTATTATACATAATTAAACCCCTTAAGACCAAACCTATGTGACGACTATGGTGGAGACACTTTCGCGAACATTCCAGAAAGAACGAGATAATGTTTCTAGTGTATTGGAGAGAATATGTGAACTTACTAGAACGTCCGCCAATTTTTTAAGTTTGTATATAAATATTGGTGGATGAGCCATCAGAATGAGTAGTTATATGGACAGTGAAGATAAATAGTAATTAGTAGATAGACAGTGGTGAATATAAATAGTGATCAGTCTAAAGACATTCGAAGTATATATAAATTAGAATAGTTGTGTTATAAAATAAATAAGTGTTTAAATAAATTATTAATAAATAAACTGTTGTTTTAAAGTAAACAAACATCACAATATGAACACAGAAAATTTTGAAAAATGGTTTAAGACGAAATGTATACCTAGTCTGGAACCTCCTTCTTTGATTATAATCATCGATAATGCTAGTTATCATTTGCGGTACGTGGAACCAATTCCATGTTATATTTGGACAAAAGATAAAATGGTAAAATGGTTGCAGAAAAAGAACATTAATTATCCAATTAATGGTATGAAATATCAGATTTGGGAAGTTGTACGTCAAAATCTACCACAAAAATAATTTCATCTAAATAGATGTGTTGAGGAATATGGGCATAAAATATTAGGAATTCCTCCATATCACTGCCAGTTCAATTCGATAGAGGTGGTGTGGTCACAGTGCAAATGGTTTTATGACGAAAAGATTTTAACAACAAAGTCGTTACCGGAAAATGTATTTCAGACTTGGTCAGAAGCTTTGAATAATGTTACCGATACTCAGTGGGACAATTATGTAAGACACACTAAAAACATAATTATTTCCGATTGGGAAAATACAAGCAATTAGATGTTTCTAATCTAGAACCAATTATTATTAATTTAGGTACAACGGCAAGTAGTGATGAGTCTGAATCAGAGTCCAGTTGTGAAGAAAATGATATTGATTAAAAAAATTTATGAGTTATCCAATAAATATTTTCTGTGCCTCTTGTTATAATATATTTTTTTTTTAACAAAGAATCTGTTTCACGAATTTGCACCCGATTTGAATTATCTTTAAAAACTATAAAAACGCTAAAACCCAATGTTCAGCTGGGAAATTTATTTATAAAGTACGAAAATAAATTGTTCCAGTATTTGTAGATAAAATGTAAAACGTAATCTTAATTTTTTCAAAGTGACTTCTTGTATTCGTTTAAAAGCACCTTAATAAAGTTTACGCTGCTAAGCAACAACAAAGCGCAACTGAAATAAGAAGACACCTGCAAACTATAACTAAAAATGCGTTACTCTTTTGTCAGAGGGTATTTCTATCCCTTTATATTTGCAAATTCATATTGTAACGTTTATTTATTTCGTTTGTTGTTTATTTTATTTTCATTCACTAATTTATTTTATAATTCAATTTATTTGTACTAAATACAACACCGATTTATATTTCTTTTACTGATATACATTGACAATATTTATTTATTTGAACAGAATAGAACTTAAATGGCAAAACTTAGTCTATTATTTATTGAGTGTCGATACTTAAGGGCGTGAATCCTTGAGTGATTTTAAGAAAAAAAGTTAATATCAACATATGTTGTAAACCTCTTAATTTTTAAGCTACAGAGTGTTACAGTTTTAAGAAAAATATAATTTTTTTTATCATAATTTTCATTCAATATCACGCCTACGTAGACGTCACTGGTGGAAGTAGAAAATACATTTTTGCCCCAAAAAAATGTTTACACTCATGGTGAGCGCCTATCAAATTTCAACAAAATATCAAAAGCAGTTTTAATAAACTTTTTATTTTTTCTTACGTGAAAACGATGCGTCGTTCGAAAGTATGAACCAAATTTGCTACAAAATAAATGTGGATTTCAAATTTCATTTTGGGTTTTAGAAAAAGCAGTGTGGTACCATTTTTTTCTTCAAAAATATTCAATTCAAACAGACGAAAGAACGTTGTTGTTGTTATGAATAACGCTTCCTATCATTCCAGTAAATTTAGTTTTCCAGCTACTTTATGGAATAAACCCAAAATAAAAAATTGACTGCTTGAAAAAAAATTTTTTTTGCGACTCCTTTTTAAAATCGGAGCTGTTGCCAACGCATACAGAGAACAATACGGCAAATATAAGATTGAGGAAATTGTTGCAAAATACGTGGTAACTGTTTTATGCTTACCACCGTATCATTGTGAGTTTAATCGAGATGGTATGGAATCAGGTACTGCGCTATATTGCTATGAACAATTTTGATTTCAAGACAGAGGATGTTCGTTCATTGATAGATGAAGCATTTGAACATGTCATTGAACAAAATTAGCGTAATTGTATTGCACATGTCAGAGAAAAAACGAAAAATTGTGGGTCGCTGATAATTTCTAAGACAACGTTGATAAACTCATAAGAGTACATTTTGCCGACATTTTTGAGAGTGAGATTTCAGACCTCGACGATGACTTACAATGACTTATCTATTGCGTAAAATTTGTTTATTATTTGTTAACTTATAAAATTGTCATTTTGAAATTCATTGTTTTTTTATTATTGAACAAATTTTGTGATAAAAATTTAAACCCGTGTCGAAATTTGTCTGAGAACGGACCTGTTCTTTTTTTAGCCGATCCCAGTATTGGCGATTCAAATTAATTTTCGCGCGCCTGTCATTTGTCATCTATAAGTAGGATGTTTGTTTATTTACATGTTTCTGTTTTGGGCGGATTTTGTATTTGTGATTTTTTTAACTGTTTTTAGATAATATTCTCATTGTAATAGTGTTTTTGAGTTTCATTTCGTGTTAATTTAAGTTTAAGTCTCGTGCTTCGTCATAAATATAATAGGTATTTACCATGTGTATGAGTTAATTTGTTGGAAATATTCACCTATTGGTTGCTACAAGAACATCTAGAAATATGTATTCACTAAACCCAGGACATGTTTTATTATGTGGTTTAAAGGACATTTCAGGTACCACACGTTTATTATGGATGAACTTATTTAAAAATCTTACTAGACTTATTCTTATATTATGAAGTGAATCATGTAGTACTTTGTCTACATGTAAATGGTTATAAAACCGTCAAAAAAATAAGATTACAGTTTGATTCTAAACAAAGTTTTGTAAAATTTCAATATTGTGAATTT